TTAAAATATTGTACATAGCTAAAGTATGGGAAAGCCCCTAGGACCAGGTAAAAATCTCAATTGGCGAGCACTAGGTGTTTGTACATGCTCTTGGCTTACTTAGGGTGTGCAATCAATAGTTCACTGTGTATGCACATATAAACATACACTTGCAAGTTCCAGGCTGAGAAAACCTTCCAGCCAGGCAATCCAGGGTCATTCCACTTAAAATGCAGACCAGATTGGTTAGGTTTATTAGATGGTTGAGTAATACATAAACGTGTCAACTCTCTTCTAAAATCATGAACAACAAAACTAAAATCACTGTCATCAAATAGAAGAAGCAGAAGTACAAAGTTTGGGTGGAACAACAGAAAAGCTATCGGGACTCCTATGGCCTTTAAAGGTGGGAGAACCCTGGATCTAACACAAAGCCTGCCTTGAACTTGTAGTTGTTCCTTGGTCATGAGGGACTGGATCTGGGAATCCCTATGGGGCTCGAGTTCCTTATATAACATAACATAGTATTTGTATCCAATCTACACACATCCTCCAGTATACTTTCAAGCATGTGCAACCTGTGGCCTGCCTTTTTTTTCACTCTTTTAAAAATATTATAGTAAAAAGTTTTTAAAAGAAAGCTTTGATATTTGTATAGTTAACTATATTTTTTTGTTTGTTTTTTGTTTTTTGTTTCTTGTTTTTGGTACCGGGGATTGAACTTGGGTCCTTGCGCTTGCATGGCAGGCTGAGCCGCTGAGCTAAATCCCCGGCCCTATTATATGTTTTACATACAGTTTGGGACAATTTTTTCCCACTCAAAAAAAAAAAAATGGTGGGCTAAAGAATGGACACACTTGGGCCAGGGATTTAGCTCAGAGTTTCCACTGCCTGCCTCACAAGTGCAAGGACCTGAGTTCAATCTCTAGCACACACACAAAAAAATGGACACACTTGCCATATCTAGATGAACTATAATAAAGTGTAATGTAACATAAATGCTATATAAGTAATTGTTAGATCATTTGGAATTAGTGGTGAGAAAAAAGGTCTGCACATGTTTGGTACAGACAAAATTTTCTAGTATTTTTGATCTGTAGCTGATTGAACCTGTAGCTTGGGAACCCACATCTCCTGAGATCCAACTATACAGGTACATATATAGTTGAGAATAGGGTGTATGGAGATCCCTCAAACAACTAGGATTAAAGTCCCATTTGACCCAGCTATCCCTCTGTTGGGTATCTTCCCAAAAGAATTAAAAGAATCATACCACAGAGATATATGCTCACCCATGTTTATAGCCACAGTTTGTAATAGCAAAAACTTTGAAACAGCCCAGTTGCCCATCAAACGGAAAATGGATAAAGATTTTTTTTTTTTGTAATATGGAGTACTACTCAGCCATTAGGAATGAGAAACTAGAGATATTTAGAGCTAAGTGAATGCACATTGAGATCATACTCTTAAATAAAATTAATAAGTCACACATGTGTAAATACCATCTCTGGTGTGAAAAACTGAAAGTGTAAATAAGGATGAAAATGTATAACTGATATTATGTAATAGGAAGACAGGTCTAAAAGAGTAGAGGAAATGGGAAGGGTAGGGGTAAGGTAAAAAGGGAAAAGAAAAAACATGTAAAAAGGAAAAACATGGAAACAACGTCTTTGTAATCAGGGAAGGGCGGAGGGGGTGAAGGGAGGGCTGGGGAATGAGGAAAAATAAGAACCAAGGTAAGTCATGTAAAGGTACAAGATCCCAATGATGAATGTAACTGTAATGTTACCTAAAAAGTACCAAAACACTTAATAAACAGCTATTAGAGTAAAAGACACACTGATAGGTATACTGGTCCCCCTTTGAACACTTATCCCAATATTCAGAAGCAGTTGTGGAAGATCTCTTCTGTGTTTGGAGTTGCACAGTTGTGACTGCTTTGATGTCTTGAATCAAGTCAAAACATTTACTTTTCATGGTCATTTTGACCTTGGGGAAGAGCCAGAATCTCGCTCTTGCCAGAACTGGTGAAAAAGGAGGGTGAGGACTCACCATAATGTCTTCACAAGCCTGTGTTTCTGTTGGGTAGCACTCTGCAGCAGTACCCACCATATTTATCACACCTCAGAAAGACACTCCTGACAGAGGACTATCAAACTGTTTCAGAAAGTGGCAAGAAGGATGGGATATATGTATTTGAAGTAAGGAGGAGAATTTTGAGGGGGACTAATACCAATGTGTCTTTTACTGTAATAAAAATTTTAAAATGCAACCAACCATTCGCCATATTTTCTGATCCCTCCTAGCTGTAGAAAACAATATGAATTCTGGAAAGGGCAGAATAATCTACTGCTCTAATCCAAACTGTGGTTTGCTGAATCCATCTCCCTCACTAATTTACAGGAGCTAATTATTAAATATCCAGCAATTTATTGGGTGGTTGGAACCTTGAATTTGGCCACAATGGGAATATTTACCCCATGGAAATGGGCAAATGCTACAAGCCAGGTTCTACCCCAGCCCAGAAAGCCATGTTACCAACACATCATTGAAGTCAAATATCATTAAAGCAGCATTGTAATGAATACACTCACTTTTCCAATAACTCTTATGAGATGGGGTCTCTGTACTCACTGACTCTTAGACTTTAAAACTTATTTGAGTGACTTCAACTCTAGTTTTTATTTTTTTCTTTCTTCCTTAAAGCCTATTCAGAGACTATAACTGAACACTAAATTCTAGGAAGACCATGTTTGAATATTAAAAGGCAAAGAGGACAAGATCTGATTTAAACCCAGATGAGACAAACCTGGGTTTGAATCCATTTACCTCCTTCACCAGATGTGTGATTTGGGAAATGTTCACTTCTTTATACTTTTGGTCTCTTTATTAGGCTTAATGATACCTAACTGATTGAATACTTATGGGAATAATAATAATATCTTCCATATAGGCTTACTACAGGAATCAAAAGAGTATGCAAAGCACTTAGGATTCTGGCCACAGAAAGTCCCATGAATGGTAACAATAGGAGGTGATGGTTGGTTGTGATAATCATTTCATAGTGTATATGAAAACATCATGCTGTACAACTGAAATATAAACACTTTTTATTTGTCAATCATACCTCAATTATTTAGGACAGGAAAAAAGAGGAATTCCTGTGTATATGTTATTCCATTTATGATTGGGGAAAATTAAGACGACTGGACTGTGATGTCACTTAGTAAATGTCCAATGTTTTTATTGTTTTTGCAGTTCTGTTATTATACAGAATTGGTATAACAGAATTGTCCACCTCCAGGTGTTGATTTCAAATAATTTTTCCGGCAGGAGCTTGGAGGCTTATGTCTCTTGGCTTTAGAGAGCTTCTGTGGTCACATTTAATGGCATTTTGGGGAGTGGACAACATGTTTTCTTATAACCTAAGCACATCCTCTATAGCCTTTGAATCATTCCTAGGAAACTTATAATACCTCTTAAAATATAAATTCTGTGTGAATAGTTGATATACTGTATTGTTTATGGAATAATGACCAAAAAAGTCTGTATGTGCTCAATACAGAAGCAATTTTCCCCTCAAATATCTTTGGTCTATGGTTGCCTGATTTGAAATGCAGAATGGAAATCTGACTGAATATGTTTTTAAATTGGTTTCTCTAAAATCATGCTGAAATTATATCCATCGAATAGTTACCTTGTTGAATTGTGTGGTTCTCTTAGATTACAGGATTTATACAAAAATAACAATAGCTCTTTAAATCTCTATTACGCAGAAGAGTCAGGAACCACATTTCCATTCTCCAGAATCTTGTACATGGTGTTTTTGTTTGCTTTCTTGTTTTTTGCCTGTAATCTCTTAACAGTGTCTTTGCTTAATGTCAGTACAAATAATGTTAATCTGTCCTTATGAACAATTGAATTTAAAAAATGGAGGAGGAATAAGAAGATAAAGAGGAAAATAATCATGGCTAACAGCCACTGGGATCTCTATGTATGTGAGGATTCATGCTAAGTAGTTTACATGCACCAATTCCTGTCACATGTGTAACAGTCTAAAAGGCACACAGTATTCCCAACCCTATTTGACATAATAGGCAGTTGAATAGCAGAGAGGTAAATTATCTTGCCCAAAATTACACAGAATATCAGTGGCATAGGCAGAACCCAAAAGGCCTCTTGACCTGAAAACTTCATGCTGAACCATTTAAATACTTTGGATTGGAGGGTTAAAATAAAGGGACATAGGAAGTAAGTTGGCATAATTATATAATATTGCAACATGTAAACCAGCTGCAGAGAAAAGCAACACCCCTGATTTACAGTTTGCCAATTTTTGTGATAATAAATACTCCTGCTATGGTTGATTTCATGCTGCCAGGGGTTTAACACTGAATACAATTTCTGACTATTAAAGAATATTAATATCATGAGCTGGCTCCAGTGCACCAGGGCCTATAAATATGTACTAGGAGAGAGCCTGACTGGGATTTAGGAAACTTGGGTCCAGGGCTCAGTAGCCACTTAGAAAATGCTATAGTGAAACTCAACCTTTTTTGAGTTTCAATTCCTCCCACAGCTGTAAAAGTTGAGAGAATCAGTTCCTTTCACTTGCCCACCTCCAGGAGCCTCCAGAAGGGTCTATGTCATTTGAATTAATCAGTTTGGAAAGTACAGTGCTTTTAAAAATGTGAGCAGGGGAATCTGATGGTCCCTCACAGGGTCACTTTAAGAAGTCATATTCAATAAATGTAGTCTTCTATTACCCTTCCTACCCCCTTATCTTGTCTAGGTTCTTCTTGAACTTGCTTCCTTACTAGGCAATCTTTGGACAGAGAAAACCAAACTCACTTTGCAATTTCATCTTGAAAATATTTTGCTTTTCTAAGGTGAAGGCTCTTAAGCAACATTTAATTTAATTAGTTTCCTTGTAAATCTGTTTATTGAATTGAAGATGCACAGAAAAACATTCTTGAGAAGTGATCCACTGACTTCACAAGACTGCCAAAGAGTTTGTGGGGTAAAAAATTAAAATGGAGAATTCAGAGCCTGGGAAGATAATTTTTCCCCAAATCCAAACTGAAAAGAGATTTCTAGCAATGGCATTGTGTTATCACAGCTGTGACAAATACCCAAGGCAAACAATTTAAAAGGAGAAAGTATCTATGTTGGCTCATAGTGTTAAAGGTATCAGTCCATGGTCACTTGGACTTGTCACGTTGGGCCTGTGACCAGGCAGGCAGCACACAGAGTGGAAGAACAGCTACCCCCATCATGACAGCCAGGAAGAAGAAAAAGAGAGGAAGTGGCCAAGGTCCCAATATCCCCTACAAGGCCACACCCCCAATGACCTTACTTCCTGCCACTAGTCCCCACCTCCTAAAGGTTTCACTACCTCCTAATACAGTAGTACCATCAGCTGTGGACAGTTCTTTAACAAAATAACTTCTGGGAGACATTTAAAATTTAACCTATTATAGGCATTGAAAGCCACATCCTCACTGGCTTCTCTTTCCAAAATGTAAAAGGAAAATAAAATGTTTGCCTTCTTCTTCTGAGCAAGTATCTCAAATTAACTGAAATGTATTAGCCATATAGGGTTTTTGTTTTGTTTTGTTTTTGGTACTGGGGATCGAACTCGGGACCTTGTCCTTGCAAGGCAGGCGGTGGCACCACTGAGCTAAATCCCCAGCCCAACCATATAGGGTTTTGATTGGCTTTTTTTCATAAAGAGTTTCGTCCATTTCTCCACAACCCTTTGTTTGCTTATTCTTTGCTATATGGTCTGTAAGTCAATATTTGCAGTTGAGAATTAGCATTCCTCAGTCCTTGGAAGCATGTGATTTCAGTACAACCTGCAATGAAAGAGAAGCTTCATGTTCTCATGTTGGAATCATGGATGCTTCAGAACTGTCTTCCATAAGTAATAGGAGGAGGGTGTTAGCATTCCCTCACTCCTGTAGTGAAGAAGACCTAGTAGCAGAGTGAAGGATACAGGACCATCACGATGAATGCATTGCCAAATGTAGTGGTACATGTGTTTAATTCCAGCACTCTAGCAGGCTGAGGCAGGAAGGTTGCAAGTTCTATCCCAGCCTGAGCCACTTAGCAAGACCTTGACTTAATCAATCAATGTCCTGGACTCAATCCCCAGTACTGTGGGGGGAAAACTGGTCATTGCTGTGTGAGGGAAGGTACAAGGTGCTGCTGAATGGTGTCACATGTCCCCACATCCAGAAGACACATGGGTGCATTATAGCTACAGATCTCCCCTGTTAAAATCATCCTTTTTAATGATTTGCACAGAATTTTAATAGTAAAGATAAAAGTACACAAATTTAAGGTCTCGTTTTCATTTCTCTATCCGTCTATTCTACTGTAACATAATTAGTGTGCTTGGATTTCCAAAAAAAAAAAAATCACATGTGCAAAAATAAAATGGTATACATGGCGATATTTAACCCGTGGTTCTCAATGTTGAATATGCGACAGAATTTATTTGAGAACTTTTTAAAAAATAACAATACTTGGTGAGCAAGGACCTGAAAAAAAAATCACAAAGCAAAGCTGGGATGCCCCCAAGGAGGGTGGGAGAGAGGTCAGAGTGTCTTCCACCCTCAGGACCCAGCTGGCCACCATCATGCATGGCACACACTGCTGTTGGGCTTCCTGGCCCCCCCTGGGAGCCAGCATCGCTGTGTAGGAAGCAACCTCCCTAACGGAATCCCTCAGGCTGCAGAAATGGTTTCCTAGCTGGAGAGTCCCTGCTTGGAATCCCACGGTGTGACAGCCACACCTTTTCCTGAAGCTTAGTTTGCGTCCACAATATAAATGCCTCCAAGGGGTTCTATCAGTTGGGACTTGTTCCCCACTAGGTTTTAAAAGGAGTCAGCAAGGCAGGTTCCTGGGACTACTGGAATCTATACATGAGGGCAGGAAAGAGCTCATGAGGAGAGTCTACATCTCATTCTCTCTAGGTACTGCTCCCCAGCACTTGGGCAGCTCATCCTCCAAGGGGCAGCCGTCCCTCCCGTAAATGTCACTTAATCCCCTCTAACTCTGTGATGACATGTGTGATGCTCTTTCATCTAGTTTTCACCTCTGTGCTATCTAGAAATTCCTTTTTTCAAGCAAGATTTATGTCGAGGACAAATGAAAAGCAAACAGAAAAATAAAATTCGTAAGAGACATGCAAAAAAAAAAAAAAGACTAAAAACCCTTTCAAAGGAGTGGCACACACAGGCCGACATGGTGACCCTCTGCACGCTCTTTATGCAATATGTGTATGTCATCCTGGCCCTGGCCATTACAGAAGCTAGTCCTGGGTCATTCCATAGAGTACTTAGCACATTCTGAGTACTCTGTGAACATCCAGACTATGAGGTTATCTTCAGAGGGTGTCTCTTTAGAGAAAGGTGCTATGCAAATACAAGTATTGTTATTCTTTTAGCACAAATTTATAATTGACTTTCTGTTAAACATTGCAGCAAGTTAAATTAATTCAGTATGATTACAGTCATTAAACAAATGCCTGGTAATAACTGCTTTCTTATTTTAGCAATTCCTCAAACCACTGGGGTAATACCATGTAAGGCTTCTGCTCCATTGTCAGATTAATTGGGATGCACAATTTGCCTTCCACGACAGCAAGCACACTGCTTTCTAGCAACAGACTGTGATTTAAGGCCACTGACGGACTCATTTACCTTCCAGCTTTTCCAATTGCTCTTGCCATTCTGCTAGGTGCGATTTACTAGATCATTACAGCACACCAGTAGCTTAAGGCAATTTCTGTTTTTTAAGTGTGCTTTTAAAAACAAAACACGGGCAAGAATTATCCCACAATTATTTTGGTGACCCTGAAACAAACCCAAACAATAGGGGCAGCAGTGGTTCTAAGCTGTTTCTGCCCTGGAACAGTCACCCCAAGAATGACCTGCTGGTTTAGCAAGCGGGACAGAAATAGTTAAATCCTGAAGGCTGCAGGGCAAAGCTCCCTGAAAGCAAAGCAATGTGAGAAGCTCCTGCCAGGTGTGCCACCAAGCAAGGGTCCCTTCCTGCAGCCACCCTACCATTCAAGGTCATCTGCCTGGTGCTCTGTTAGACCCTAGCCAGTTCTGAGGAGGACATTGAACGATAGCACGCTTTCAGTCAGCTGACTGCTGTGTCATAGCTGCTGCTTTCTGCATTGCTGCAAATGCCAGCCCCAGCTCCTGCTGCTCTCTAGTCGCAATGCAGCAAAGCTGAGGCATACAACTAGGCACAAAGCGACAGAGTTCTAAAGTTTTCTTTTTTTGCTACTACTTAGCATTTCTCACTCTTGGAGTATTTACCTTTGTTTAGCCAGGAGCCAAGATGCAGTCTGATTGTACACGATGGCTTCTAGCGTGCATATTCAGCTGAGCAGGTACTGCTTGGAGCCTGGTCACCAAACTGCTTCTGATGGGGCACGGCTGGTCACCCACACGCACGCGTGTGCACAGTTTGGGGCTTTTTACGCCACGCTGCTCTACCTGCAGGAGTAAAGGCTAGGACAAAGGAGAGGATGCTTGCCATGGTTTGTCTGGCTGGGGCCTGGGCGACTCACCGCATTGACGCTGTGGGATTCCCCAGCTCCCACTTAAGGCTGGTCACGGGGGCTGGCGCAGATCCCCACTCCTCAGTTAGAACACGGTTTAAAGGAGAAACCAGACTCACTGACCTAAATCAATCCCAGTCCTTTCTGGATGCGGGACAGCTGTCGACTAGCAGTGACACAACCAGCCATGGAGTGGAGAATCCTTGCGACTGCAGTCTGGGTGCAGGTGGAGCCTGGGAGAATGACAGTCTAATTTTGGTCATCTGATGGCTGCTTCTTATTTTCCTAAATAATCGTGCTCGCTAAGTACACAGTGGTCTGGATTAGTCTTCATTCCAAGCAGTCTTCATCAACTCTGGCTGGAAATCAGGGTGCCAGGCAGCCTGCGTTAACACTGGCTTCCTCCTGCGTGATGCTATGCAGCTAGGATGGGTCACCCTGACAACAAAGGAGGACGCAGAAAGCATCACTTTATCTTCTCTTGTGATGTTAGCGGAACATAGCTCTTCGCAGTGATGCCCTCCTGTATATGTGTGTGTGTGTGTGTGTGTGTGTGTGTGTGTGTGTGTGTGTGTGTATTTTTTCATCTAATTGCCCTCCTGTATATGTGTGTGTGTGTGTGTGTGTGTGTGTGTGTGTGTGCATGTGTGTGTATTTTAATTCATCTAATCGAAGAACCTCACAGATATCATCATGGATGTGGTTTTTAATGATTTGGAAAGAAAGACAGCCTGTGGAGACAGCGATTTGAGACAGCACATTTAGGTTATTGCCAATTTGAAATACTCCGTTTGCAAAGCTGAGCCCTAAGGGGCAAACTCGGTAACTGAGAAAGAGATTGTAGATAAAGAAATAAAAATGACAAGCGTAATGGAGGCTCTGCGAAGGGACTGTCAGAGCATCAGTTCATGGATGGCAATTTCGCCAGGCTGAGACTGAATAATTCATAGATCGAAAGCACCCTGCTTTCACCTTTCCATTTAAACCGGCATGATCTGAATCTCTAATAAATTTTCAAGATAAAGTAAAATGCCAATTTGAATCTGAAGAGCTTTTCAAAGCAGATGCTGTATTCCTGAATCTTTCCGTATCTTCCACAATTATCCTATGAGGGAGAATTGCACTTCATCACGAAGCACCATTACCAGGGAAAATTACTGTGATTACAATAGCAACAATAGGACAGCATCAAATGATCTCCAATTTACCTAATTTGCTAAGACTGACTGTGGTTTTAACGCCCATTGTATGTCACCATGACCGGCATCCAGGGATCTGTCTCGAGCTGGAAAAAAAGTAGGGTAGTATGTGTACCTTACCTCCAAAAACCTAGCAAAGAACAACCTTTTAGATTAGAATATCTCTGTAATTTGATTTACGTGTTTTGTTTTCTTTCTAATACCTCTACCCCAAATGCCTGCTTGAGGAAATGGTGAGCCTGTTATGCATTTATAAGTTTATTCTTTGCTACAGGAGAGGACTGACTTGTTAATTTATACACCCTCTTTATTTTAATATATACAAGCATGTGTTTACCAGAAGGGAGAAAAGATTCTGTCCTGGGAGGATACTTTTAAAATGCAGACAAATTCAAATGTGCATGTTTGCTTCTTCTTGTGCTCATAGGTTAGGAACCCTTTCGGGGAGCTGGGGTGCTGTGTTAAAAACCTTTCAGACTGAACAGCAGCTCAGGTGGCAGAGCCGATAATAACCTGGCGCAGCCCAGACTGCAAGCGTGTGTGTGGGAGACTTCGGTTGTTCGTGTCTGCTCACTGTGGAGAAGAAGTCTGTGCTTCAGAGAACTTTTTATCTGACAGGCTGCTCCGCTCATATTGAGGTAACTGTGCCATCTTGAGAGGGTGGCATGGATCATAAGTTCTCCCCGGAGAACAGACTGTAACCATTTCACAGGCACGGTCACTTCCGGAATTTGCATTGCATGAAGATGGTGGCAGGTTGCTTTAGTTGGTGTTTCTTTTAAGTTTGATTCTTTCAGGTGGGGCTCAGCGGTGTGGCGACCACTTGGGAAGAAGGTGGCCTCAAAATATTCCTCTCTGATACCCTGGGGTTTCTGTCTGAGACTTTTCGCTCTGATATATCCTTTAAGTCACTGTCATTTTACCCCTTGTTGTATCCCATTCCCCCATGAGCACCTTGTGGCGAGGAGGTAAGTCAAGCTCCTGATCGTTTGTATAACTGAATATGTTCTTCATTGTCTGGTTTCAGTGGAGACGTGCTTATATGTGCTTACCCTTTTTGCTTTTTGTTGTTATTCTCACTACCCTAGGGTTAACTCTCAACTTTTTATTTCTGTATTTTTCTAAGTGCAAATGAAAACGTGGTATTTTAAAAAGTGTTTTAAATACAGCTTTCGTTCTCTTTATCTAACTAAGTGCATTCAAGGCTTTGTGCTTTTCAGTGGAAAAAGAGAAACAGTTTTGCTTCAAGAGTAATTTGTTTAAAAATTATGAGCAATGCAGCAGATATAAATTATGTTACATATTGTTCTTTAGCTAGCTTACATTTCTAATACCAAACTCATTATTCTTGTCTGGTAAGAAAGAAGCTGTTAGTGACAAAGGACTTTTCAAAAGCTTACATTGCCTCAGTGCCAGGGTGTTGTTTTTCTTCTTATTAAAACACAGTTTTAATATTCAGCAAAAGATTTAAAAATTTCTGGCATCTTAAAGTTGCTTAATAGTCAAGGTTTGTTCAGTAATCACTGTTAGAGCAGGTTGGTTTGTGTGTCTGATTTTTAAGAAATATAGGTATCCTAAAATTATCTGAAAATAATTGGAAATCAGACATTTGCCATTTGTGAGGGAGACTCATTAGAAATTAATTTATTCAATTGATAAAAATAGCGAACCATTTTATGATTCAAGTACTTATACTTTCTAGTCTTTGAAAATGAGTTTGTTTTGTTTCTTTAAGATGCAAAAAACAGAATATTTGTCTTTTCTTACAAAATATGAATAAGAATGTACTGTCATGCATTAGTGCTTACTGATATTGAAATTCACTTGTTTTGCCATGAAAAGATAAGATTTATTCTGCAGTTATTAACTTAAAAATCTTGAACCCCACCATTACCTTGAAATTAAACTTTCTTTTTTAACTTTAAGTGACTGAATGTAAATGAACATAATATTTTAAAATAAGTTCACATTTCAAAATAAGTTTACTGGACGTTTAATCCACTATTGACAAGTTCTACTATTCATGGGTATATCTTACAGTGCTGTAGGCAGTTTGGAAGTGAAGACTCACAGTGAAGACACATTAGTAGTGGTTGATTTAGGTGTAATTTCAGAAAGTGATGTCTAACACTATGTTTTAGGCCTTTTTTGTTAGCATGAAAAAGGTAAAAAGAATTATCTCCTTCCTTTTTCCTAACTTCTAATCACTCCAGAGCATGACCTGCATTTACAAGGAGTGATTTAAAATCTAAATACCCAGAAACATACTCATAGAATCCACAGAAATGCTTCGTGCTTTGAGATAGAATGTGTACATTTTGTCACTTAATAATTGAGGTAATTCCTGGACACTGATGTATACTAACATCCATCTTGGAACAACAATGACAAAAAAA